AAGTAGATTGTCCAACCTTCTTTCTGAGGAGTGGTTGGTGGGTTTGAACCACCAGCCTTCTAGTTAGCAGTCAAGTGCCTTAGGCACTATGCTACCAGAGCTCCTAGGAAACCTGATAGGAGACACTATGAATCAGAATTGACTCAACTGCAATGGATATAGTGTACTTGTGATTAACAATGAGAGATTTCCTGAAATGTCAAAGTTTAAACTTATATCTCTGATAAACAAACTGATAATTTAAACTTAGATTTCAGTTTTAAAAAGTTGGAAGAGGAGGACAGGTGCAAAGAGTTAACTCCTGGAACAAATTTCAGCTCTGATCAGGGCACAATAATGTCCTTGACAATGGAATCTGCAAATGTAACACACCAAAATGTTGGCAAAACAATCATTTCAAAGATTGCTACAGACCTAAATATGTGCAAACATATTTTCATGTGCACAGAGAAGATGGATTAGGAACCATTCTGTATGTTGTTTTTCCGATAGTGTATCTTTTTATTTAGTACATAAATAAATAAAATCTTCACAAATGGACCAATAAGAAACATCATTATAACTAGAGAAAAGATTGAAGTTGTCAAGGATTTCATTTTACTTGGATCCACAATCAATGCCCATGGAAACAGCAGTCAAGAAATCAAGCAACATATTGCATTGGGCAAATCTGCTGCAAAAGACCTCTTTAAAGTGTTTAAGAGAAAAGACATCCCTCTGAAGACTAAGGTGTACCTGACCCAAGCCATGGTCTTTTCAACAGTCTCATAAGTATGTGAAAACTGGACAATGAATAAGAAAGACTGCAGAAGAACCGATGTATTTGAATTGTGTTGGTGAAGAATGTTGAATGTACCATGGACTGCTTGGGCAATCCTTCTTCTCTAGTGATAATGCCTCGGAAACCCAAGGAGGGGTCGCTATGAGTCAGGGCTGACTCGACGGCACATAACAACATGGACTGCTAGAAGAATGAACAAATCTGTCTTGGAGGAAGTACAGTGGGAATGCTCCTTAGAAGTGAGAATGGCCAGACTTTGTTTCATGTGATTTGGTCATATCGTCAGAAGGGACCAATCCCTGAAGAAGATAACATGCTTGGTAAAGTCAGCCCAAAAGAGGAAGACCCTTAACAAGACAGATGGACACAGTGGCCGCAATGATGACCTCAAGCACAGCAAGGATAGTGAGGAGGTGCAGGAGCAGGCAGGGTTTCAGTCTGTTGTACATGGGGTTGCCATGAGTCTAAACCAACTGGACAGCACCTAACGATAACGTTTCAATTCCTTTAGAAAAAAACTGTAGCAAATGAATGAGAAGATAACAAAGCACAAGATATCTACAACCTGGATGTTTGAAATATAAATTGTACCTAGCCTATGAAATAAATTTGATGTGACGTCATTTTTTTTTTCTACTTAAAAATTTAGCTTAATGTGAAATAGACAGAAAGTGGGCACTTATATCTTCTCAAGGCCCTTACTTGGTTTCCAGAAAGAGGAAGAAGACAAGTAGAGAGAATCTGGCTCATTTTATTAAAGTAACTCTATTGGTTTCAAGATAGCACCCAAGGTCCCTTTGTTCAAAGCACCTGTATTTTCCATCTCAGATAAAGATGCTGGCTCTATTCAGTTATAAAATATCATTTTGACATCATATTCATTTCTCAGTGACTAAAGCTCTGGTAGCGTAGTGCCTAAGGTAGTTGACTGCTAACCAGAAGGCTGGAAGTTCAAACCCACCAGCCACTCCTCGGAAGGAAGGTTGGGCAATCTACTTCCATAGTGATACCACCTCAGAAACCCAAGGAGGGGTCGCTATTAGTCAGGTCTGACTTGAGGGCAAATAACAACAACAGATACCACAAACAGTTAAGTGCTCAACTACTAACCATAAAGTTCGGTGGTTCAAACATATCCAGAGGCATGCGGGAACAAAGGCCTGAGGATTTGCTTCTAAAATGGCACAGCTTTCAAGACCCTATGGAACAGTTCTACTCTGTAACACATGGGGTTGTCATAAATTGAAATCAACTCAATAAAATTGGTCTTTTTAGTTTTGGGGCTAGTTTGGCTTGAATTATCTCTTTCCATTGTGGGGAAAAGATCTAACCTGAAATATACAAATTACTTTTGGCTCCTTTTAGCTCCCTTGCTGCCAAGTCAATTCTGACTCATAGTGACCCTAGGGACAGAGTAGAATTGCCCATAGGGTTTTCAAGGCTGTAATTTTTGTGGAAGTAGACTGCTACATCTCTCTCTTTCAGAGCAACTGGTGGGTTTGAACTAGCAACCTTTTGATTAGCAGCCAAGTGCTTTAACCACTGTACCACTGGGGCTCCTTCTTTGTAGCTACAACAATAATTAATTGATCTAAAAGAGAATTGTGCCTGAGCTGTTAAAACTCTGACTATAGTTTGCTGTTCATTCACTCATTCCTGGGACTCATCACCTTACCTCTTGGTGTTTAGTTATCACTTAAATACATCAATGAGGCAAATTCAAGGAGATAAATGAGCTGAGAATTTATGAGCAGGAACTTTTCACTGGAGCAATTTGGTCCAATGGAAAACAATTCTGGTAAATATTTGCAAAAGTAAAATTTATTAACAGCTTATTGTATGCCACAGACACTATTAAGTGCTTGACATGTATGACTTCATTCAATCTTTGACAACTTCAGTGAAGTAGATACATTAATATACCATTTTATGATAAGAAAAGTGAATCTTAGAAAGATGGAAAGGATCAGACATACAGCTAATAAATGATGGTGGGTTTCTATTTTAGAGCTTGGTTGGTAAACTGCTATATAAACCCACCATCATCATTTATTAGCTGTATGTCTGATCCTCTCCACCTTTCTAAGAAGCTGGGCTGTATGAAGAAGAATATGTCCTCAGGATGGGAGGAAGACTCATTAACAACCTGAGACATGCAGATGACACAACCTCGCTTGCCTAAAGTGAAGAAAACTTGAAGCACTTACTGAGGAAGGTCTAAGACCACAGCCTTCAGTATGGATTACACCCAAACATAATGATAATGAAACTCCTTACAAGTGAATCAATAAACAACATCACAAAAAAACTGTGAAGAAAATGAAGTTGTCAAGGATTTCATTTTTCTTGGATCAACAATCAATGCCCACAGAAGTAGCAGTAAAGGCTCAAATGACATATTATACTGAGCATATCAGGAGCTCTGGTAGCATAGTGGCTAAGACACTTGCCTGCTAACCAGACGGCTGGCGGTTCAAACCCACCAGCCACTACTCGGAAGGAAGGTTGGGCAATCCTACTTCCGTAGTGATACTGCCTCGGAAACCCAAGGAGGGGTCGCTATGAGTCGGGTTTGACTTGATGGCACATAACAACAACAACAACAACTGAGCATATCTGCTGCAAAGGACTTCTTTGAAATATTTTTTAAAAAATACGTCATTTTGATGACTAAGGTGCTTTATAGGAGCTCTGGTAGCATAGTGCCTAAGGCACTTGACTGCTAACCAGGAGGTTGGTGATTTAAACCCACCAGCCAGTGTTCAGAAGAAAGGTTGGGCAATCTACTTCCATAGTGATACTGCCTCAGAAACCCAAGGAAGGGTCGCTATGAGTCGGGTCCAACTCCATGGCACATAACAACAACAAAAATAACAAGGTGCCTTATATGCATACAAAAGCTGGAAAATGAAAAAGGAAAACCAAAGAAGAATTGATGTATTTGAATTGTGAAGAATAGTGAACATATCACAAACTGTCAGATGAATGAATAAACCTGTCTTTAGCCAGACTGCTCCTTAGAAGCAAGGATGGCAAGACTTCAGTTCACCTCATTTACTTTGCTCACGTCATCAGGAGGGGCCAATTACTGAAGAAGGACATCATGCCTGTAAAGTAAAGGGTCAGTAAAGAAGGGGGAGACTCTAAACGAGATGCATTGACACAGTGGCTGCAACGAATGTAGCAACAATTGTGAGGATGCTGGAGGGCCAGGAAATATTTCGTACAGTTATACATAAAGCTGCTGGGAGTGAGCTGCTTCAATGGCACCAAACAATGAAAACAACTCCGTTTTCCCTTCACTGATTAAACATACCTTCTCTTTAAACTGAGATTTATGCTTAAGCATTAGATCCCAAGAGTTGTTCATGAGTCATTTACAAAATAGATGCAAAATGTTCTTCAGTGGTTCTGCATATAAAAACTTTAACACATACTTAGCAAATCAGATCTAAGTAATTTATATGAAGACAGAGTTAATGAATGGGGTCAATGTGGCACATCAGGAAAAATTACATAGAAATTAGGAAACCTGGGTTCTAACTACCTGTCGTGATCTTCCTTACAAGATTGTGTTGATCACGTTGATAATCGCTGGAAAGTTAAATATAAAAATGCTCTGTGCAAAGCTCTATACAAGAAGATAAGAATTCCTTTCAGTTTTGCCTCAAATTTAACTACTCTGTTGGCAAGTAGTACCTCGGTAGTGCAAACAGGTAATGTGCTTGGCTTCTAATCAAAAGGTTGGAGTTTCACGTTCATCCCTGGGGATGTGCTTCTGAAGAATCAGCCATTGGAAACCACAGGGAGTGGAGTTTCACTCAGATACACATGGGGTTGCTGTGACTCAGAACTGACTCAACGGCAACTCATTCCGTTTGGTTCGCAAGTAACCAATACACAATTCAACACCACTGATATAATCTGGTTGCCATATCCTAGAAAGTCCTCATTTAATTTGATTCTTCTTTAGTCTGGCCCTGCTCTGTGCCTAAAATAATATCCTAGAAATCAAGAAACGAAGATGATAGTGAAAGAACCAAGCTGTTCAGTTCAAAACTGACTTTGATGAGCATGGAGAAGGCCTGCCTGCGTGTCTCCCAAACTGCATATAAAAACCAGCTCAAATGACTGAAATATTATGAAAGCAGAAGTCTACAATGTCTGACTTCCTGAATTAATTTTATGAAGTTGTAGATTAAGGAAACATACCCAATACCTTACATATGCCATTAATACAGACATTTCTGCTGTTGCCTCCTTCAAAGCAAGGGGTACCATCAATGACAGCGTCCAACATTTTTTCAGAAAACTGGCCGTCTATAGGTCTGCAGTAGAGTTCACAAGGATGTGCTGAGAGGGGGGAAAAAAGAGACAAATCTTTGCAAGTTACCTTTTTAGCTCAGTGCCTTTCCTCATGATTCCTTGGTACTAGTGACCCCCAATTTTCTTTTAATCTGGTGATCTCCATTTTTATCTTTCTGTGATGCATGCTGAAATGCAGGCTTATTTTCTTTTTCCAGTTAAAAAGTTTACAATGAATTAAATTTGGAAGATGGCTTTCAGCCGCTGTGTTCCTTGTTAAGACTGACGAGATCTTTCAACTCAACATCAAACTGTGCTTGTGAAAATACCCAATCCAAATCCACAGCCAACAAGTCAATTGCAACTCATAATGACCCTATAGGAGACAGCAGAACTGTCCAATAGGGTTTCCAAGGCTGTAAGTCTTTATGGAAGCAGACTGCCACATCTTCTCCCATGGAGCAGCTGGTGGGTTCAAATTGTTGAACTTTCTGTTAGCAGTCCAATGCTTTAACCACAGCACCACCAAAGCTCCTTTGTAAAAATAAGGCACTGATAAACAAGCAAATATATAGAAACCAAAGATTAATGGTAGGGATGGGGGGAGATATTTTGCTCAGGGGCATTGAATTTATATTAATGGTGGTCAAATAATTTGGAAAAGGGTAGCAACAAAAGTTGTTAACATGAAGAATGTAACCAGTGTCATTGCATTGTATATGTATAAATTGTTGAACTGGTGAAAGCTTTGTTGTATATATTTCACTATAAATAAAATTTTAACAAAACTATAATATCACAAAAGAGGCATTTCATTTTTGTTGTTGTTGTTATGTGCCGTCGAGTTGGACTTGACTCATAGCGACCCCTCCTTGGGCTTCTGAGGTGGAATCCTACTTCCGTAGTGATACTGCCTCGGAAACCCAAGGAGGGGTCGCTATGAGTTGGGTTTGACTCGTAGGCACATAACAACAACAACAACAACATCACTACGGAAGTAGATTGCCGCATCTTCCTTCCGAGGAGTGGCTGGTGGGTTTGAACCTCCAGCCTTCTGGTTAGCATTCAAGTGCTTAGCCACTAATAACAAGGCACTGAGAATCTAGGGTTAACCCAGAAATTAAGCAATAGCAACCAGTGATGTAGGATCTCAAACAAGCATGTTATTTGCCCAGTGTTTGCAGCAAAGTAAGTAGTCTTCCAGGAGAGAGAGCCCTCCCTCTCAAGGAGCCCAAACTGAAACCAAACCCACTGTCAACTTGTCATTTCTGACTCATTGTGATCCCCATTGGGTTTCCAAGGCTGTAAATCATTATGGAAGTAGATTGCTTCACCTTCCTCCCACAGAGCCGCTGTTGGGTTTGAACCACTAACCTCTGGTTAGTAGCCAAATGTCTTATCCACTACCCCACCAGAGACCACTAACGACTAACACCACCACTTCCATACCCACCATCATAATACAGCCTACAACAAATCTTCTCCTCTTATTCTCTTTAACGTAGTCCTTGTGATTCAGTGATTAATGCTTGGCTGTTAACCAAAAGGTCAGCAGTTCAAATCCACCAACTGCTCCACAGGAGAAAGATATGGCAATTAGTTTTGGAGCCTTGGGAACCCTATGAAGAAGTTCTACTCTGTCCTATAGGGTTGCTATGAGTCAAAACTTACTTGACAACAGTGGGTTATGCTCTTCCAGTCCAAGAAGTCCTGGGCCACCACAATTTACAGCCATCATAAAAATAAAGAGCCTACTGATTTTATAGAAGGTGAAGCCAACTTGCTCATCACTGGTTCATCCCATCATCCTACATGGATTCCATTCTAAGGTTCAATTTTCTACTCCCTTGTGAATGAAGGAAGGAGCTCTGGTGGTGTAGTGGTTAAGGCATTTGACTGCTAACCAAAAGTTTGGTGGTTTGAACCCACCAGCTCATCGTCCATGGAAGAAATATGAGAAAGTTTGCTTCTGTAAAGATTTACAGCTTTGGAAACCCAATGGGGTTGTCTATGAGTCAGAATCAACTTGATGGCAGTGAGTTTCATTTTTTGGTTTGTGAATGAAGGTAGGGTGGTCTCCATCACAAGAACTTTGGTAAAGATTAAGTTACTAAAACAAAGATCCATATATAGAGATAACTTATTACTATTATTATTATTGTTGTTATTGTTTTTATTGCATCTCTTCATGTG